GCTTAGGGTTTAGGAGTTAGGTTTAGTGCTTAGGGTTTAGGATCTTGGGTTTAAATTCCGGAGCGCCCACGACCGGCCCGTGGCCTCCAAGGAGGAGAAGAAAGAAGCGCAGGGTCAAGGATCGGCTGGACTCCTGGGCTTCCATCTTCACGTTGTGGCTTGGCATGTTGTGATCCTTTTTGGGTTTAGGGTTTAGGGTTTAGGGTTTAGGGTTTAGGGCCTTTTTGGGTTTTGGGCTTAGGCCCTGGATTCTGAGGTCTGCGCTGCTGCCAAGGCAGCAAAGGGCAGTTGGACCGTGTTTTCATTCTGGATGACGGCCATCAATGAAGTGGCTCCGTGCGAGAGCCAATGGGCTGGAATGTCAAAGCCTGCAAAAGGCAAGTCCAAGGCTTTGACAGCCTGCCCTTCGATACTGGCTCTGTTTCCCTTAGTAAGGACCTCTACGTGAGTCTTAGACATCTTAGCAGCACCGTCCTCCTGCCTCGCAAGTAGGCTGCTCTGAATAGCGACGCATCCGAAGATGCACAGCCCCTCAAACTCGACGCGCCAGCATCCGATCCTGGAACTAAGCGTGCCGGAACAAAAAACAAGAACATAAAAGCACTGTACATATTATATATAAGAATATATAACATGTGTTCCACAGCGATCGCAGCTCCTTCAGCAGAGGAGCCCCGAGCCCACACTGAAATGTCGGCAGCCTCAGCACTCCGTCTGTCGCGCGCGTGCGCGCGCGCCGAACTCCGGGGCTAACCCGGCCTGAACCACCGAATCTTCTGCAAGCTGCTGTAGCAGATCGACCTCGGCTCAAAACAAAAACCTGCACGACACTCCCCACATTCCCACAGCCTCCAAGCAGTAGAGAACCATACGCACAATCACAGCATTCTTATGATATTTGTAATCTGATCCGGCGGAAAACAGACAGGAATTAAAAGGAAAAATAAGTTGGGAAGCTTTTCGAGGACACCACGCCTATGTTTCACTCTTATGCCGTCCGCAGCTGCACCTTCCTCCATAGGAGTGCGACTCGATCGAGAAGGACTGCAAGTGGTCGCCCATGTAAGTTTAACGGATGCAATCTCGTTGGACATTTGGCATTTATAAACGAGGATGTCCGCTGGAAGAATGGTTGAGACATGAGCGAAAAATGCTGTGAAATCCCTCCAGGAAAAGTAAATGTGAGTGACTAAGCACGCTGGCACTGCCAGAGAAGGTTTTCGGCGTCGGGCGTTGTTGTGGCTTTATTTCCTCGTTCGAAACGACTTGCTCTGGAGAAAGGAATTCGCTTGCCTTCTCCACATCATGAGCCTCGACGTTGTTCAAAACCTACTCTCTCGCAAGCCTGTTCAACCTTCGGCCTCTACCGACAATCTCAGCGGTGATGGCGGCTAGAGGGTCGACAGAGTCGACAGTAGCAGAAAGGAAGTACAAGGAAAGTGAAGACAGCTCATTTTGAAGCAAATGCTGCCATCTGCACGTGAATCTTCCTTCTTGAGAAGGAAGGGTCGGCGTCTGTGATGCAAGGTGAGGAATTAAGCAATGCGGGGTCACATTGAAAGCTAGTTTCGGAGATCTGCGTGCAATCTGAGACATCGACGGCGCGGCAGAGCGGCAGAGCAGTTTCGAAGGAGGTGACATCCAAATGGCAGAAGTCAGGAGATGCATCGATCTCCATGGCCTCGCAGGCATGGAAGAACGCGGATGGCTCATGACCAGCCCGCCATTGTGGCTGCCTCGTGCATGAAGTAAGCTTCCGTGCTTTTGTCCCACGTCTTGCCTCACTGTATCTCATCGATGATTTAGACAAGGACACAAAGATGCATCACAGAAGAAAGAGACTTGCAAAGTCGCCTTGTGACTTCGCAGCGGCCAGAGCCTCCTTGCATGCCTCGCCCTCATCAGGCCTTGGTCCCGAGCATCACAGAAGGGATGCGTCTGGCTGAGTCAAGAGAGGGTTTTCGGGGGAACTTAGGCCTTAGGCCGCTGCTCCACGATGCGATCGTAGAGTGCGGCACTGAGGGCCACCAGCCGCCAAGGCCTAGAGTTTCCCATGTCAGCACGAGAAGGAGAGGAGCGCCGGTGCCCTTGGGCAGTAGCTCCAGTTGCAGCAGCCGAAGAGCCTGCCAAGCACTTAGGACTTCCAAGGGCAGAAGGCTCTCTGTCTCAACTCGATCGGGTCAGGCACCCGCTGCGGCTCGCGGTAGGAGCATTGCATGAAGACGAAGAGCGCTAGTCGTCCGATGCCGTTGCGTGAACCTGCTCTGCCAGGCAAAGCTCAAACGCTGCCAGCATTGAAAGACGGCGTGTAGGCTCACGGCGAACGCCCACGAACTCGGAAAGCAGTGCCAGGTAGCTGGGATTGTGTCGCCTGCTTCCTGCCTGACCATGTTAAACGAACTGCAAAAAACCTCTGCTGGCCGCCAACACCGAGGAATCTGCCGAAGCATCTGGCGACTCCGTCTGCTCGAAATGAGGCCTGAAAGTTCTTGCTCGACTCATCCCCAGAAGCAGCGTACGATGGGATGATGCTGAGAGGATGTTGCAAGCCAGAAAAAGTGCAACCATGACAAGTGCAACCCGCAGCTGGCTTTGAGGACTCCCAAGCCTCTGTGACCAAAACGGGTTGAAGGCAGAGAAGGAGCTGCTACGGCCTGACAGCAGCGAACAGCGATGCCACAAGCACCACCGCCGCAAAGGCCATGAATGGCACCTGACCCTCCAGGTGGATAGGTGAATGCAAACTCGGCCAGGAGTAGGCGATGAGTCGGCAGAATCGGACCGTCCTCCAGGACCGGTTTGCGGCGGCTCCGGTTAAGTCGCTAGATTGCCAAAGGGGATGCCTGCAGGAATGCCGCACCAGACCACATGCTGGAAAGAGCTCGCTCAGAGGTGTTTTGCGCGTGTAGGCGGGAGAAAAGCACGTCTCGCTGCAGCAGAATGCGGACCTTGACAGAAAAAAGCTTGCCCGATTCAAGCAACGCTGCCGTGGGCCCGGACAACATCCAGGCCATGTCGAGCACACTGTTCCAGGTATGCTTGAGAGGCACCTGCTCTTCTTCCATTTGTGAGCCTGCAACTTCGGGTGCTATCACGTTGCCACGAACGATGGCAATTCAAGGACCCGGCCCGTCCATTGCATGCCCCTGGAGCGTCGTGAGATACAACCTCGCAGCCGTGCCATCTGATGTACACCGATGGGGCTTCAACTCGAGACTTCATCTCTGGTTAAAATCCACTGCTCTTTCTGCGCTTGGATGGCGCACACTCGAGCGAAGACAGGCGAGTCCAAGCTCAGCAAGCACCTGATGACGTGATGTGCCGTGCCGCTGAAACTTATGTACTTCTACATTACACTGCATGAAAAGGAGGCTTTGCCAGGATGCGGACCTGAACGCATAGGCTGTGGCGTTGCCCGCAGCGCAACGCCTCAGAAGCTCAGTGGTTGCAGCAGGTCTCTGAAGCTTTCCTACCCTCTGCACCAAGCGTTTGCGCTCACTGGGGAGGCTGCATGGATACTTCGGCTGCGGTGCTGTCGCTGTCACTGTACGGCCTGGAGGCAGGCCAGGGTCAACAGGGCCAGAAGGCAACGAGAGTGGCCTCACAATCAAAGCGTTGAGACTGGAGGAAGTGCTCATCGGCAAAGGTCCACGCCTGAATCCACACACTGAACCAAACCATACACGGCACGAGAGGCAACAAGTCTCAGCTTGCAACAGCACAAGACGAAGCCAGCGCAACGTCAATGCCTGGCCACCAAACTCCAGTCACTGCCGTGGAAGTTGCTGTGAATCTCTGGCTGCTCTGGCTTCTGAGCTCCGGGCTGCCAGTCTCCAGTACCGAGAGCTGCTTCGAAACGCAGATGGCTCGGCAAGGGCCTTCAACAGCACCTGCTTCGCTGCGCCACGCGGGGGGCCTCGCTGGGCCTCCTGAAAATCACCGAGAGCCAGCCTGGTGGATCACCACATGCGTGAGCGGCTGCAGGTCCAAGCCATAGCGGCCCTTGCTGATCGGGATGGCCTTCTGCTTCGAAAGCTCACCCCGTCCAAGAAAACACGGCTGAAAGATGCACCTGCAGAAAGCGAATCACACAGGCCAGCAGCTCAATGGCGACCGCACCATCCTTAGGGCTATAGAAGGCTATACATGTTAGAACCAGGGTGTCAAAGCAAAGCGCTTGAACGCGGCGTACTCAGCCATGGACACAAACGCGTGGATGTTCGACGAAGGGAACAAGGCTAGGAACGGCCATCAAGACGGAGGAAATTATGTTCCTGCTCACCTCAGTGATGTTGAAGAAAGCTTCAACATGCGCCGGACCTACGATGGCCGCCTCATAAGTCCGTGACTTGAGGAGGAGGCAGGTCCAAGTTGCCCAACCTCACATAGGAAGTGGCCCTCGCGTTACTTGCCAGCAGTACTTTCAGTAGATAACATCTCCCAACAACAAGGGCAGTAATTCGCCTACAAGAACAGAGCATGGGGAACACTCTTAAGTGCAGTTGATGCTGGAGGTTACTGGAGCACGAGGACCTGGAGCTGCAGCTAGGACCCTCTAGGCCCCATGCAAGACAATATACCGCAATCATCGACAAGACTTGGGCTGCTCTCAGCCAAATGTGTATAGCTGATTGCGCTGGACAACCGGCCACGACTGCCTTCTGGATGAAATGGCATGCGAGCCGTTGCGACGTGTCATCATCAATGACACTTTTGAAACTTGTCCCGAGTTCTAGCGATACTAGTTTCACTGGGCAATGCGACGCAATGTCCTTGTAACATTCATGTGTCCGACCACGGATGCCGACATGCGGAGTCTTCACAAGATGCCAGCTTCACTGCTGTTCACCTGAACTTTCTGAACTTGCTTCTTTCGTCGTGCCATTCAGCTCCGATTACGATTGAGCCTAGAAAATATTTCTGAGTGCGGCACGCACCCAAGCAAGCAGCTTTGACAGCTGGTTCTGGATGTGCACTGAGCACATCGACCTCTGAAAAGCAAACCACGGAGGTTGGGATGCATTTCGGATGCACGGAGCAGACAAGCATGCTGGGCCCTGCGCCAAGATGCCCGCGAGGTTTTCCGCTCGTCCCCACGGGTCGCCGAGAGAAGAGGCCACCCCTGTCAAGCTGTCGCCATAAAGGCGAGGATGGAGGCGAAGCGATGAATGAAAGGCTCCTGAGTTTAGACTGTTCGCGATGGGCTGCATGGTTGGCTGCATGACCTGCAATGTCGCCAGCTTTCCCTACTACCCTAAAATGCCCTTCCCGAAGAGGCGGCGGCCAGTAATCGACCTCCACAGGCACCAGACACAAGTCTGCCTGCCACACTGCAATCAAGAGCGTGTGTTCCTGCCCAACTTGACACTCAGCACCGCGGCACTTCACTTTTCATGGCATCGCTCAGCACAACCCATGCTGGCATCAAGAAACTTCTGCTATTGCCCGTCCGGATGCACGTACTGGAATCTTGAGATGCTTCACATCGCACAAATCAAATCGAGAATGCCCCTCACAGCCGCTGAGCTGACACGGCGGAGATGACTACCGGAAGGCTGAAGCTTGCGGCGATCTTTACAAGAACCATGGCCTTCTCTGGTGCTGGGGTCACTGGGCACGGGCACAGACCGGACTGTTCGAGTCCAGCTGCACACTTTTCGTGAACCATCACTGCTAGCGAAAAGAATGCATCGTTTTCTCAAAACACGAACGATTCGAGTTGAACCGTGCTCGTCGGGAAACCAACCAGACACATTGCCTGTTAAGTTATGGGAACCAGCTAGCTGTTCCTAGCTGTTAGCGGAGACGTTCTCTGTCAAGTTGTGTATTTCAACCACACAAGCTTGACCTAAATAATTTCCGGATGATGCTGCATCAAGCCGGAATTGCCCCAGTTTGCGAAACTTTCATATGGAAACGCTATAAACGCCGGAGGCAGCCACGACGATTTCATCCGGGAGCGTTAAATGTCGGTGTTCCCAGAATCTATTCGCCCATCGAGGTCTCCGTTCGATTCTCCAGGAACGACGAGGTTGCCACTGCTGTGCTGCCATGTTGTTGACTCCAGAAGAAGCTCTCACGCTTGTGAGGCCCATGAGCAAGATGCCGGTTTTGCCCCCTTCTCCCGTATACCCCGCAACGACATCTCCTAGGCCGCATTCGTGGCACCGAGCAAGCCCGTGGTCGTCCCTGCCACTGGCATCCAGCTGCAAAGCTGCGGCGGTTTCAGTTTCGGTGGTACCTATCAGGATCGTCCATTGGTGAATACCAGGGCTGCTGAAGCTTAGCAGGGCAACATCTAGCCCTCCGCTATTTGTCTGACCGTTCAGATCGCCGGCGGCCGCCCCCGCAATCACGATGTTTTTTGAGGCTTGAGGAGTCCATTTGCACGGCAAAAGCGGTGTCGGTAGCAGGCTGCCGGCCTAGGCAGTCCACAATCGAAGTCCGCTGCTCGTGTGCTTGATCAGGACCATGTCCGATGCACCTTGGTTCGTTGTGCCGTGGAAGGCACCAGCGATTTGCCCTGCAACCACCAGGTGCCGTCGCCGTCCGATGCCAGGGCATAAGCCGCTCAGTGTTGTCGCTACCAGGCTGGTGCGTCCATGTTCTAATGAGCGAGGAGGGTCACATTGCGGGTCTGTGAGAGGCGAAGTTCACGGCACGGAGTCCCGGCGACCCAAGCTTCCATCTGACAGGAAGTGTGAAACCAGCAGGCAGGCCTGCGAGGAGCCCCTAAGCCCTGGACAAGCCCTAGACAGAAGCTTCTGCCAGTCAGCGGAAGGAAGACAGGCCGGCTTCGCACAAAGCCATGACCATCGCATCCCCGGCCGACGGCCCAGGACCTAAGCTTTCTGAACACTCGCCGCTGAAACGTGTTTTGCAGAACTCGGCCTCCAGAGGTGCTTGGAGGAACTCGGGCCTGCACACACAGCGGTGCAGGACAGAACGCCAGATGATATGAAAGGGCTATGCCCCCGGCATGCTGCATCAAAGTGTCAAGCAGGAAACTCCAGTTGAACCACTGGTTGCTATGTGACCTCGCGAGGCGGGTGCGCATGCGCGTGCGTGTCTGCATGCGAGCCGTTGTCTGTGAGTCTGCAATTGGTACATTCACCGTGTCTTTTTCCGCCCCCAGGGGGCATATCGTGTGGGAGCTGCAACTTGCGTGGGCAGCATGGGAGCAGAAGTGTACTTGAACACTCTTCAGTGCAGAATACACGCCGATGACGCAATGAAGCTTAGATGCGATGGGGGAACGGCTGCGCACGCTTTCAGGGGACACCTTGCATTTTACACCTGTTTAGCCGTTGACAGAACAGTTCCCTAAACCCTAAACCTGTATGGTTTGGGGCTTAGGAACACACTCTGAAATCTACCTTCTGAACAGCTCAGCATCGCGGCGTGCTCAAAGAAAGAGCTGGAATGACCATGCATTACGCCCGAGTAGCTCTGAGAACCCTAAGCCCTAAAAAACCTAAGCCCCAAAAACCATAAATCCTAAACGTAACTAAACCCGAAGCCCTGCAGTGCCCGGGCAGGATGCATGGCACAGGCAACGAGATATGACAAAAAACAAATCCGCAAAATCTGCAAGCCACAACTGCAGCTCAGAGGGCTTAGGGCGTTTAGGATTGAGGCTGTAGCTCCAAGCGGCCCATGATCACAGCAGTGGTATCTGAAACCAATCATTTGGGGATTCACGATCATGAGGGGGGCGGCCGGACGGTGCTTCATGTCAACAACACACTCTATCGACAACCCGCTTCCTCAAGGACTTGAAGTGGCGAGCTGGATTTGACAAACATTCACGGATGTTTCAATTAAAGCGCTGTGCTAAAACTAATGGTGGTGGTTTGGGTGGATGATAGTCGCGTCTAGTGAAGGGTGATTGCTGACTTACTCGCTTGCTTTCGTGCATGCCCAGTTCTGCTTCGTTCCTATCTGTAGCTTGTGCAGGCGTTTGCTGGCTTGGCTGTTTGTCTTGTGTACGCTCTGTTTGATTTGGCTGGTAGCGCTTGTTCGCAATGATTGACATGTTGAACTGGGCTTTGAACAGCAGCTTCTGGCACACGAGGCTCGCGGTCTGCAACGACCTGAGAACATCGCCAAAGATGGTTTTCTGCAATGGTGGCCCACAGCGGGTGCTGATCTTCAACACGGTGGCAGCAACAGGGCCACGGAATAGTGCTATGACTGCGTTGGAGTCACCAAAGCATACGACAAAAAGCTGAGTATGGGACCCTCTCGCACAAATGGTGGCAACCAGATCCAGAATTTCAGCGTACAACATGGTGTTGTCCTGGCCGGGCGAAAAAGCTTCGGGCCCTGCCAACAAGAGATGCAACTTGCCAGGAAGGCATGTCTTGGCGCCGTGGACTGCGTTGAATTTGCTGCCTCGGCATTCTTAAACGTGTATACATACATACATATATATATATATATGTATATATATATATATATTCATACATACACACGCAACATACGTTTGACTCAAAATATGTGTGTATTTATGTAAAACACATACGTGTACTTACTCTCATGTGTTTGTCTCCTTCGGAACTTGCTTCTTCTGTCTAACTGCCCATCTACCGGGTCAGCCAGCTAGCTCCTAGCTATGAACCTATCTATCGATCCATCGATCTACCGATCTATCTGTCTATCTATGAACCTATCTACAAATCTACCTATCTATCTTAACCTGTCTATCGACCGAACCACTTTTATATATACATATGTATAGAGTTGTACTTATACATTAAGAAAATATAGATATATAAATATATGTATTGATACTTATTTATTTATATTGATGTGTGTATATATATATATATATTTGAGTTACATATGTAGGTATGTGTATATGCACCTGTATATTTTTACTTTATCTATGTACTCTTTCATGTATGTTTTACTGAACTACAGCAACAGCCATGCTTAAGAAATCATTGGCTTACGAAATTGAGCCCTCGGACGGCCGTGCGACAAAAACATACATACAAAGAATGCGTAAATTGAAAATAAGAAATCGAGGGTACCCTGACCTCGGCGTGCCCGTTTCTTATTTTGCCATTCTCATTGTCTTCGCTGGTTCTGTTCGCACAAACAAGACCAAGAAACTAAGGGAGTACCTTCGGTATTACAAAAGCTAGGAGCATGGAAAGACACTTTCGCCAACTGACATTGCGCTTGCCAACTGAGCTACAGCCTGCCCGTGTACATACTCAATCAATGATGCCGTTGTTCATTTCATGCGTTTCTTTGTTTATGTGCTATCGACGGCTGCTCAAACTCAGAAGTCTTCCCTGTCGTTCCGAGGTCGCGTCAAAGGGCGACACCGCTCCGTTGCCTCGCAGCGCGGCTCAACGGTTTAGGGTCTATAGGCCAAAACCGCTTTTAGAACGGTCAGTGCCTGTAGGCTTATAGGGTTTAGGGATCTAGTGTCTAACTGAGCTCTAGACTTTAGCTCTCGCTGCTGGTGTCGTTACGACTTCTGCTGCGCGGGGGGTTCAGAAAAGTTGGGTTCCCGTTTGTGGGTCCCCATATGACATATTGTGCAGTGGCAGAACTCTATTAATTGGGGCTCTACTTTATCTATGAGTCTATGAGTTCCGTACGTTCTGAAACTCCCATGTAAGCTCAAGACGAACTTGGTCTGGAACAGCCGTGGACCTTCGGCGAGCTCGCCACCCAGTTCGGCAACACTGGGGTAACCCAGAGAGCCAATACCCCTTAAATTAGGAATATACCTTAAATCATCATATTAAGGCCCCTATAAGGTAAGGTATATTCCTTATTTAAGGGGTATTGGGCTATCATCATACTAAGGCCCCTATAAGTTAAGGTATATTCCTTATTTAAGGGGCACTGGGCTCTCTGGGAGTAACACGTGGTGTGCAGGCTGCTGAGTCTGCAACCAGGGGCTGAAGCCTTCCATCTGGCGGTGCGTCCTGGGCCGGTAATGCTGGTCATCATAATAATAATAATGAATAATCATGACATAATGATGATGATAATCGAATATAGCAATAACAGTATCAATAATATTCGTAACAAGGATAACAATCATGATAACAATAATACCCACTAGTCGTAACAATAATGCTAGCCTGCATAATACAAAGAATACAGTGTACAATATATATATATATACTAATTATATGCATGGTAGAACGGGAGAAAACACCGTAGATAATGTAATATCGGACACATGGCTCTGTCAATACACGACTCTTCGACGGCAATAAGCTCCCAGCAAGTGGAATGAATCCGTGCACTGCAATGCGACATCGCGGAAAATCTCGCAAGCTGGTGGGTGTAGACGACACAACCGGTTCCTGGGCAAATGCATCCCGAGTCCGGACGGCAACTCTTGCGTTGCAGGTTCTAGATTACTGTCACACTTGCGCAGCCACATGGTTCTCATGAGAACTTGGATTCGAAAGCCAACGGCCGGAGGCCCGGACAGCACTTGAAGTGCAGAAATTTGAAGGCTGTCGGGGGTCAGCAGGCGCATTTGCACAGCCTGCCTTGGAAGCTCAGAGGCTCAGCTTTGCTTTGAACACTCTGGGAGAGCCAGTCATATAGATATATATCATAAATTCTATATAAAATATTACATAGTATATTATATATACTGACTATACATAGTATAGTTTGTATTATATTATTAGACTATACTATACTATACTATATTATGCAGCTAGTTTTTCTAGCACCGTCCGGCAAACTGTTGAGACGTCGGCGCTTCCAGCTTTTTCACTGCTGTCCATCGTCGCCCAACCTCTAGCGAAGAATGATGTGGCGTCAGAAATCAAAGCTTGACACGCTTCAGCAAAAGGGAGCTATGATGTTTCTTATCGACCCCTCCAACCGAAGTGCTTGATACTCTCCATTGCCGCTCATTGCACTTCCTGCTGTCATGTTCCGGGACTTTCCAAGCCCTGGAGCTGTTTTGCTGAGACTCAAGCCGGAAGCAGTGCTCGCTGGAGAAGTTCGCTCACACAGCGCAGCACCAACAAGCCAGTGCCTTTCACGATGACCAAAGCTCAAGACTCACCCAGGTCTGCAGCTTCATGCAGCGATCTGGCGAGGCTCGCACAGGTGTCTGGTACAGCCACTGCTGACATTAACACCTGCTCAGCTTCCGTTTTTCACACGTTGCGCTACGCTGTTGCTGAAGCTCCAGTTCTTGAGGGGTCGTGAGCCACGAGGAAGACGGCCTCATGAAGAAGGAAATGGAAAAAGTGCCATCGCACGTAGCCGCCACGAAGCGCATGATCCTTGGAAGAGGAGGTGCAGAGTAGACGCTGCGGATGCTGGCAGGATTCTAGCAGCCTGGCAGCAGAAGCTTAGCCCGAGGGAGCCGCATCTTCAAGCAGAACGCCGCTGATGGCAAAACATAAAAATTGGCCTCGGTTGAAGGGTTGCTCAGCTCTTCTCAGCCCACGCCTCTCAAAGAACACGTACAGCTTTTATATATATATATATATGTATATATATATATATGCTAGCCCC